CATATGGTATATTTAACTCGAGATTTTTATAGTTAGCAGCTCACTTTTACGGAAAAAAAAAAAAGGTAAAGCACAGTCAAGTTTTGACCATGTCTAGAAAATGCGAGAAATCACACCTTCGGTTTTGCTGGAAAGCTGTATTGCCTCGAAACAATCTCAAACTTTTCTTTCCAAAAATAAACTGCCCGTGTGAATTAACCCTTGAACCATTCTCACAACTTGTCAACTGTGCGTCCTAAAGTTTTCGCAAAGCTCGATCTAAAACCTTGAAAAATATTCAGCGCTGAAAAATAGTAAGATAAAAAATGTACATTGACAAATAAAGAAACAAGTCATTACACAGGTAAAGTTGCACTTCGAGAAATCAAATTATAAAAATAAAATGTTTTCCCAAAAAAGCCATTTAACTGCACAGGGTTGCTTGTCTCGTCAATTCCACGTGCAACTACTGTGACTGCGGCCATGTATTTCTTCATTTTTTTTTTCTGCTAGAATCTAATATCTTCTCCGGAAGAAAATTGCTGATTTCAAGCTGTAAATAAAGTTGGTACACAGTACTTGAAGGCTTTTAACGCAAAACAGAGCAAAAAAAGCACTTTTTCCCGATTTTTTCACTCACCGTTTTCCGAGCTGTGACCCAACTAACCGAACGCCTGGAAGAGGTTTGGGAAAGGTTGTCTTCCCTAGCCCAGGCATTCAATCAATTGACATGGAAAGGCATGTGACGGGGATAAACGTACTTAAGATATTCATTTAAAGCTGGTAATAAGTGCTAAAAATGAACTGCTAACTCAAGGTAAAAGTGAACCGCTAACTATGAAAATCTTGGGTTAAATATACCATATGAACAGTCCACTTCAGGCGGCATGAATTTTTCAATAATTATCATTTTTATTTCTTAACTTTCTATTTCTAGTTTATTTGTGTATTTAATTATTCTTTTCATCGTTTTTTTTTAATTTTTTTTAAATTTTTTTCAGACTCCGCACTCCGCACTCCACGTTTTCGGAACAGCCTCGGATTTTGAGTCGTTCGCATACCCTAATCGTCAAGTATGATAGTAGTTTTTGGTTGTTTACGGATTATAGTCTTTGGACGGCCGTAGTTAGACTTTGTAGAATTTTTACAGAATGGTTTGGTGAGGGTCTTAGCTTTCGTAATTACGAAAACTAAGAGGGGGTCTTAGTTTTCGAAAAACACGGTGGAAAGGATCGGACAGGTGATAATTTGACAGATAAGACCTAGTTTGAGCTATTTTGGTTACAATTTAACTTTATATTTCGACGGATTCGATTTTAGGGGGTCTTAGTTTTCGTATTCTCAAACCTGACAACCTGTATGGAGATCAAATTTATCATGCGTAATTTGGTTACTCTTCAAACTAGGGGATTCGAGTCAGGAGCGTAGCCAGGATTTCTAGGAGGGGGGTTCCAAATTGGTTCCAACGAAAACGGTTCTAAAATCCTTACATTACGTACGTACAAGACGTAGCGTTTACGCTACGCAAACAGAAGACGCTTTGGTTGCCGTTGAGCGAAGGTGTTTATCACTTCCTTGATATTTACATCTCGGTGGTAATTGATGTTCATCAACGCCAGCCCAGACTCTCGCTCGCTTGACATGGTTGACCTCAGGTATGTTTTTAACCTTCTAAGTGTACTGAATGAGCGCTCACATTCAGCTGACGTTATCGGCAACGTGCAAAATATGCGGATCAAGGCGTGGATGTTAGGAAAGAACTCTCGGTCGCATACTGCGAGTGTCTGAACTGCACTGGTGGGAAGGTCGGCATCCTCAGTGCTGCACCACTTTCTCTTCCATCGCAGGAGCTCAACATCAACCACATGAGGAGATGGAGCGTCGTTTTCATAAAACTCCAGCGCTGCTCCATTGTCAGGATTTCTGTCTCTGACGGCTACCAGCTGCTCAGTAAGAAGATTAAAGAGGCTGGACAAGACAGCATCGTTAGTAGGATTGAAGTACGTTTTCATCTCTGATTGTAGATGGTCTAGAAGGGGAATAGCAACTGCCCTCTTGTTGTAATCAGATGGTGTCTGGGCTGGTACATCGTCGCGATGCTGCTGCTGATTGGTTCGGCGCGGTATGGAAGGCACAATACCGACATTTGCCGCGGTAGTGACCACCAGATCAAACCACTTGGTCCAGATGTCTTCGAAGTAGTCTCGGATGTCCTTGAGATCGTCCGTGACATTATTACTGTTAGTGTACGCCTCGTCAAGTCTAACTTAACGGCCTAGTGTAAAAATAACCATTGTAAGCATAGAAAAACGAAGAATTTCAGGAATCAAGAGTTCATTACACTCTTGCTGAGATAAAGTGAGTGAGGAGAGGGGGGGTGCCTTGACGCGAGAGGGGGGTTCCGGAACCCCTGGAACCCTGCCCTGGCTACGCCCCTGCGGGAGTACATTTCTAATTTCATTGAGATAAAATCAAGAACAGTCCATGGTTTTAAGCGAAAATTTTTGTCATAACGTCAAACGCTTCCATTGCTTGTTGTGAAAAACTAACTGACGTTCAACACCTATTCATAGTAGACAGAATCATAACGATGAAAGCTGACTGACGTAAACACGATCAGAAACAGTTTCTCCCATACTTTCCGAAATCCACTTGTCTTTCAGAATTTCCCGTTAAAAAGGCTGTCATAACTTATAATCACTGTTTTCCTTTTCCTGTTGCTCAGAGTTTCTACTTCAACGCCTCTGTTACAGAACGCCGACTGGCTGCGCCTATCAAGATCCTGCAAGATCTTATGTTGAGAGTGCTCTGCATTTGACGGGCGTCGCTAAAGTACGAACGACAGATTAGAACCCAGTGCAAAGGAAAAGAGATACTATTGAAGATACCAGAAAATTAGAGTAAACTAACTGAAAATGACTCGCAAAAACATTTGAGGGGAAATGACTTCCGTGCGTTCGCGCGGAGAGTTCGAGTTCGCCATTGAATTATCCTTGTTCGCGTTTCAGGAGTGTTAGTGAATCTAGTATTTCTACACTTCACATATAGGCTGAACTGTTATTTGTGTTGAACTTACCTCTCAGTAAAGTAAACAACAACTGCTGCGAATACTAGCGAAATCAAAGAATGATTGTTAACAATCTGATTGTTCGACTCGTTGTAGAAACTCCCTATGCTAACTCGCATTAAGTATGATTTCCATCACAATGCTTCTCTCATGTCGCGCCACCCAGCCATGACAAGAAGAAGGGACAGTCTTAAAAAGTGATAAAAACTTATCCAAGCGTTTGAAATCAATTCTTGTAATTATTCATTAGATTCTGATTTGCTAAAATGGAGGAAATAATAAATGCAAAAAAATATAGAGAAAAAATGTCAAGAACGTGATAGAAAGTTTCGGGAGGCGAAAGGACAGTATTTAAAACAGCTCGGATACTCTTGGCAATTTTAGATACTTTTAAATGGTAAAGATAAAAATTCATGTGGGTTTTACTCCCTCCTCTGCCCTCGGGCTAGTTACAGCAGTGTCATTAGAAGAATTTTTGGTGGAGTAGTACTTATTCATGCAAGACG